TACAAGTACAGGCACTCAGGTTGCTATTACTTTTACCGTAAAGTCTATTTTTACCTAAAAAATTTACGGAACAAAAAATCTGATGAACCGTAATTTTTACAGTAATATTTACTGTAAAATTACTGACATTCTGCAATTAAGTAAATATTACAAGTAATATGATAAGTAAATACATAAATCACGGCATAAAATTTTACGGGAAAAAATGGACTTTTCGAATTTCTTCCAATACTTTTTACCGTAATTTAATTCGGAATATTTTACAGTGAAGTTGTCAGACTGGTCGGATTTAGACAAATGTAATATGCAAGAAAATGAAGGAAAAAAATTTCTTTTGAGAAAGAAAAACTCTATTGTATTTAAACAAAGCCTGTAATATGTTATTTTGTTTTCTAAGGCATATCGGCTTAGGATGACGCTACACCGCGTGTTAAACTTTACATGGCAAATTTAGTTTAACCTCCATTGGTATTATAAAATTAAAAAATTCAGAGAAAACTGAGGTTAGGTAAACCTAGAGTAAACCAGGAAGTTTCAATTACTGAAAGAATAGTTTCACTCTTTGAAAATGCCAACAAATTATTGCTGGAAAACTTAACCACTGCGTAAACCTGCCATAATTTGTTTGCACTTTAATATTTTAAATACTGCCAACCGGTCTGTGTAGGAGTCAGGGAACTGGCCTTGAATCAGAAAGGTTCTGGGTTCAAATTCCTGTCAAGGCATGGAAGTTCTTTCATTCTCTGTACTATCTGTCCTTACAGTGGTAGCAACGTTGGCCCGCCTAGTATGGTGCACCTGAAAGAGTGGCCACCAAAATCTGTCTTTCAGATGCCTGTATGACGAAAGGTCATTCCCCACGTGGGCATTGGGAACAAAAATATTTTAAAAACATTTCACAGTATTTGAAACTTTATGGTTTACCTGAATTGACTTTTTAATAAACTTTATAAAATTTTAAAATGCAGAATTTGCCATGAAAAAGTTCCGATCACCGTATAGCGTCTTCTTAAGAAAACAGGATTCAAATCTAAAGAATCAGCTTGGCTCTTTTTGCTGTGAAGGTTGAGAGCCGACATAGGCAGGGGAGTCGGGATGGGAGGTCACTATTTTCATTATTCTGCAGATTTTGCTTCGCCATTCGGCATCTTTACGAAAATTCATTTTCTCTTATTTTATTTAAGAAACACGAATGAAATTATAAACATCTCGTCCTACTTTGTTTAAATTTCTAATTTATTTGGAGTAATTGAACTGTAAAGCTCCGAGGATTGGTGAACAATAAGAAGAAAATGGTATACCATTTAATGTCATTAAAATTTTATTTTATATTATAAACGTCGGTGAACAACCTACCCAATTTTTGGGTTTGCGACTTCTAATGTTCAACTCCGTAGCCTTGTAATTTTGAACCCAATCCTGAAGACTAAGGAACTCCTGGATCATGTATTGGGAGAAAGGAGGACTTCACGGAGGATTTTTTTGATGGAACTAACCCGCATTTGCGTTTCATGGAGAGGAAGACCACGAGAACTTCCCCACGGTTAGCCTGATGGCAAAGGGACTTTAACCCATGATCCGTCTACCACTTAGAATATTTTACGTCAGCACTGGGGTTGGTGCAAGCCGGATGTGGATTCGTATCAATCAGCCATCCCTGCATTTGAATGCGGTTCATCTTATTGAAAGGCGAACGCTCTATCCACTAAGCAAGCCATCGCTGCTCATGTAATTAAAATTGACTATAAAAATTACCAAGGCATAAAAATTGGGGTATTAAATAAAACTTGGAGAAAACAGTGGATTGTTGTTGTATGTTTAGGTCGCACTAGGTCTGCATAATGGGCTATTTAATTTTATTTTACATCCGTCGTTGAACAGCCGACCCAATTTTTGGGTTTACGACTACTAATGTTCAGCTCCGTAGCCTTGTAATTTTTGAAACAATCCAGAAGACATGAAAACTCCTGGATCAGTACCCCCAGAGGTACTGATTTGTTATGGGAACTTGGAGGACTTTGCGACTCGACCAATGTAACGTGCATCAATCGCCATTTAATACACGGGGAGTCTTCGGCCGGTGGGGATCGAACCCACGAACTCATGGACATAGGCCCACTACCCTACCAACCAGGCTATCCCAGCCCCACATAATGTGCTATTGGCGACGGTCTGGGAAACATTTCTGAGGATGATCCGATGGCATGGCATTACAATTTTGATCCTCTGCAGAGAGGATGATAAAATCGCTCAATCATTTATAAACCTTGTTGAGCTTTGTGATAAAGGTTGTTGCTGACGTTAAAATCAACCTTACACTACTATCTAGGTACGATTCCATCATGGCTGGAATGTTTACAAAATGGCTGTACTAAGTTGTACTCATTTAATTTAGAAACTGGGACACGCAGATTAATATAAGCAAATGAAACGAAACAACTTACGCAAACGAGCTAATTTTGAATAATAAATTCTTCTGCGTTTTGCAAGTGTAAAAAAATAGTTTTAATTATCAGTTGAAATCAAGTAATCTTGTTGAAAAACGACAATCTTTGTAATGAGCTTAAATGTTGTGAAACAATATTCAATGTCATACACATCATTCCATTTGTTGTTTGCTGATTTAATGGATGAAAACACTCATCTCCCTATTTTTTCTCTCTGCAAATTACACCAGTGTGACGCATATTATTCGAAGCTATTTTCTCGCATCAAGAATCGTAGTATGGCCTCGAGTTTCTGACCTCTGAGTAAGATATTTTCTAGATCAAAATGATGTAAAATGGATTTATTTTAATGAGATTATGTTCATTGATGTAAACAAAATGGAAAATAGCGCATAATTATTGCTTCCATTTTGTCACTTAAACGTAATGATAGGTAAATCAACCGTCGTTATACTGGTATTTCGTACCGAAGTAAATGGGAAGTAATAATAGGTAAATCAACCGTCGTTATACTGGTATTTCGTACCGAAGTAAATGGGAAGTAATGATAGGTAAATCAACTGTCGTTATACTGGTATTTCGTACCGAAGTAAATGGGAAGTAATGATAGGTAAATCAACCGTCGTTATACTGGTATTTAAATGCACCGGAGTAAATGGGAAGTGTCTAAATTATCTAGAATGCCATCAGAAACGTACAATGCACTTCGTTAAATGTAGAAAAATATTTCTATTAATTTATATAAGAACTGATATCCACACCATGGTTATACTTTTGAAACAATGACGCTATAAAAAAATTTTTCAGTTCAAATTAAGGTATGAAGTATTGGCACTTTGAGTACATCATCCGTAAAAATCCATTTTACCATAAAATTCCTTTTACCGTAATTTTTAAGGTAGTATTTTTTTAATTAGAGTGATTCAGTAATTTTATGGTTATTATTACCTTAAAAATTATAATATATCAGATTTTTTGCTTCGTAAGATGTTCGGATAAAAATAGATTTTACTGTAAAAAGTAGCGACATCCTGAGTGCTGGTACTTTTTATAATAATTTGATTAGGAATTTTTTTTTCAGTGAAGATCAGTATGAATTCTAAATATCAGTCTAATATCTGCCGTTATAGGCTCTAAGTATCTACTTAACTTATATTCGTTATTCCTTTTTTTTTTGTAATAACAGTAATTTGAATAATATAAGACCCTTATATTCATTATTCTTTTTAATAACAGCATATGTTAGAATTCATAAAAAGATTTAAAAGCCTGATTACTTAACAGCTCATCATTTTTTCTGATAAATTAGAAAGCGTTGTTCCTATAAACTTATAAAATTTATTAACACATCAAATAAGTTCAATGATAAAAACTACCAAAACGTTTAATCATGGAAGTTCAATACAATTTATTTTCTCAAGCAATTTTGTATTGTATAGTATTGTATTATAGGGCAATTGCGAGATGTAAGCTGTGTTAAAATTATAATTACACAATTTGTAGACTAATTACAAACGCTTATATAAATGCTAAAAAGACAATGCTTATTTGTCCTTTTAGCATTTATATTGTATAGTTATTTAATGGATCATATTTTTTTATACATTATTAACCATGAAATATATTAAATCCGGTAATTTTTATTCTATAAAAACAGTTATTTTCCAGGTAGCACAGTAAGGTTGATTTGAATGTTAGCAACAATCTTTATCACAAAGCCTAACAAGGCTTATAAATAATTAGCAAATAAAACAAGTAAGCTTGATGCTAAATTTAACTATGCTGCTAGGTTCTCATTAAGCTTACATGAACAACACTTTAATATCGAGATTAAATCAGACTTTAAGAAACAAGGCTAGAAAAACCTTTTGGAATTGAGGATTAATGATCATTTACAAATCGCTCATTATCAAGCGCAGGATACTTTCACCTTCCCAAGGTTTATTTTAGATTTTATAACCCTTACTGAAACAAGGTTTATTTGAGCAGGCGTTTATAAACTTTCTTTAACACTTTAAAGGTGTAGGGTTGCTAATTATTAAGTTTTCGACGCAAACAAAATCTTGCATTTGAGAGCCACGACAAAGCTAGAATGGAAAAAAGGCAAAAATATGCCTTTTTTTAAGCCTTGCAAATACAAAACCAAGCAAAAGCAAGATTTGCAATGAATTTTTTGAGTTTTTTCCGATAAGTCTTTTTGAATACCTTTATTCAATTTTTAAAGAAATAAGTTTCGCATATTTCTACTAAGTTTAAAAAAGTATTAATTAGTTCACCTTTCTGTGCCAGCCGAATAAAAATGAAAATACAACGTTTGCCGTAAGGTTGCCTGTTTTCAGGGTCAGTTTTGTAAAAAAAAAAAATTTGTTTTCTCAAAGGTTCAAAAATTTTCTTTCTAAAAATAAATTATCTTAAAATCATTTATCAAATTTCTAAAGAGTCATTTAACTTTACAAACAATTCAAAACTTTGCAATACTTTTTCAGAAAATTACTTAATCCTCATATAATTCGTGAACACGTTTATAAAATATAATTTCAATCAATTCATTATTATTTTTTTAAAAAATTACTTACCTTTGCAGATGAGGGGGATATTTTCCATCAAGTGTCTCTCTAATTTAAGATCAATGAATCTGTCTACAGTGAACAAGAATTTCGGCCTCATTGGGCGAATAATTTTAGCAGCTGCCTAAAAATTATATAAAAAGAGTCGCTTTATAGTTTGGAATAATTATTTAAACGCAGTCATTGGAAATTCCTGGATAACAATTTTCAATGAGTTTAAATCATTCCAGTACTTAAAATGAAAGCTACTCGTATTAATACATCTAAGAGATACGTCTCTACTTGATGATTTTTACTAGTTACATTGAAGAACAAATGACATCGTCTAATAAAAATCAACAATTCTAAATACTATTTATTATAAATCAAAGAGTTTAGCAATGAAATATGTTATAACGACTATTCTTTAAAAATAACGCATGTAGTAGGATTTAATATCTCAGAACTTAGCTTATTTTAGACTATATGTGTATCATCGCTAAAGATACAACTTGTGAACCGCAGACGACCACCATTTTTTCAAGCGACGTGGTCAGTACCTGAATTGGCTATTTTGAATAAAGCTCTAATGCAATTGATCTTTCATTTTAATCGAAAGTGGAATTTGGGAAATTAACGATTATTTCATTTTTGTATGTCGTCGAGAAATTCAAAAATTATCTTAACAAAAAGAATCTATCTTTTCAAGAAACTCTTTTCTAAACATTTACTTAATTTTGAATAAATTAAGTAAATTTCTAAATATTTATTTACTTTAGAAAACTATTCACTTAAACTTGTGAAAAAAAAGAATTTATATTTAAAAACTGATCATTTACTTCTTAAAACAATTAATTTTTATATACGATAATTAACCAGTTGTCCCTATCTTACTGGAAGGCTTATTTTACATAATCCAAAGAAATTTAGGTGATATCGATACATAAAAATGTAATAATTAAATAATTAACGTTTTTTTGTAGTTCTTTATGAAGTGTTTATAAAATATAAAACCCATAAAAGTATTTCTTCAATAATTGCAAAATAAAAGGAACTGAACAAAATATAATGTTTAAATCTATGGCTTGACAAATAATAATAATGTTGTTTGACAAATAATAAAATGTTTTAGTAAACTGTTAACTTAATTAAAATGTTAGGGAGAAAGGGTGTAGGAAGATTAAAATAAAACGCAATTAAAGTAATTTACCTTATCACCATAAAAGGGCAGTGGTCCACCAAATATAGCTCCAATGCTAGCAGCAGCCAGATATGCGTATATAGCTTCTTTTCTATTAGCCATGTAACCTAAGGAATAAATAACATTTATGATTAAAACTTGGGATTTATTAATTAATTTTTAACCAGTCTAACATAATGTTTCAAGTAGTTTATTTCGTAGAATTAATTCAATTACTGTCCTAAATACTGATGCATTTTTACTCATATTTCTTTGATATATCAGTACAATATATCATATATCAGTCTATCATATATCTTTACTGATGCATTTTTAAACAAGTAGAGGATGTTATACTTGATAAGAGCCCCTTCCTCTCTTGGAAGAACTCAACTTTCGAAGGTGTAGAAAAATTCTAAATCTGCTTTTAATACTCTTAATTTAATGTTTACAAATAAACTGATGATGGAAATTTACTCTATTTGTCAGTGTCTTTTGATTCATGTAAAATAAAAGGTCATTATTCGGCCATAATTTGAGACATAAAGAGTGCGGTATTTTGAATTTTCTATCAATTTTCTTTACAAAATTATGCCATTACAATTCTGAAATCAACAATTTTCTGTAAGTAGTTAAATAGTATAAAGTTGCTTATTTTTAAAATTTCGGTAAGCATTTTTGTTTTTATGCAATTAACATTTTAAGAATATTTTATCGTCATTCAAATCGGTTTTCATCAGTATAAGCTGTTATAAAACTAGATTTTGAAAATCTAAAAACGGACAAACGTGTAGTTTTAAATTGATGACTCAAAACCACAAATGGCATAATTTTATTGCTTTAAAGTTTTAAGTAAAATTTTATAGAAGTTCTATAAATCATTAAGCGCTATTTCTCCTAATCTAAGAAAGCAACTTCTTTATTCTCTACTTTTTTGAAAAGTATTGTATTGCCAAATAATACTTTATCATCAAAAGCTTACGTACAAAAAACTATCATAAGAACACAAATAAAAAAATTTAACCAAAAATCCCAGATGGTGAGAGTAGAGGCCTCTAAATTAGAATACAAATAAATCAAATAAGGATTTATTGCTCATAGAAATAACTATGAAGATAGTAAAGAAGTTAGGGTTGTAAAGAATTAAGAACTAGGGTAGATAAAGATATAGGATATAACGTCAGGATTAAAATTTCATAAGAACCCTTGTCCGGAAATGTCATCGCACACGTCCAGAGGAGCTTCCCTATTATGACCTGTTCAGAAGCACACGAAGAAACAGTTCAGAATAGGAGAAACGCATCTAGCGGCGTATGACGATATTTCCGGGCATGAGTTCTAACGCAATTTTAATCCTGATGATGTGCCTTAACTTACCTTAAATTTTGTCTCAACATTTACGCAACCTCCTGCTTTGTATACCGTTTTTTAAACTAGTAAATTTCAATAAAAATAGACTAAAAATGTAATTTAAAAAAACTATAGTTTGGAGAGGGAAACTGATTGCAAATTTAAAATCAGCGATACGAAAAAAGCTAAGGTCTGCTAAAAAATTACTCCTTAGAGTTTTTATTTTCGCTATCGAGGAAATTTTTTTTAAACTTTCATTTGGTTTCTTTAAGAAAAGAAAGTCAACAGTATTTCTGAGATTATTTTATTTTCCTAGTTACACTGCGTAACGAAAAATTTTAATAAAACTGAGCAAATCCTCAAAACTTAAAAAAATGGAAAAAAATTTATACATTCACCAATTTGTAAATCAATTCGCTAAAAAAAGACAAAAAAAAAATACAAATTATTTACATGCAACTCTGTCTCCCATTTGCAATCCATTTTTTCTAAAAGCAGCAGCATATCTTTCCACTTCTTCGTACAATTCTGAATAAGTTATTCTCTCATCAACCCCTCCTTCTTCCTCTAAAGGTAAAATAAGAAAGGTAAATTTATTAATCAAATGATGTATATATTATTTTGATTAACATGTGTATATATATATATATATATATACAATGATACATTACAAATATCAAGAAGTAAGGATAGAAAATTATGTGACAGTAGTTAATGTTTTTATTTGCTTATACTTTTATTCATATGTTTATTCTAGTCAGGATTGGAATTCTAGTCAGGAAGGAACCTATTTCTTCTAGAATTTTGAAAGAAACTTTAAAAAAAAACAGAAAAAAAACTAGAACATAGAGAAAAAAAAAAAGTAACGTCAAAACTACCTTATGGTAACATTTACCTTGTTTCCGGCTCTATGGGAACACCAAAAAGCTCAGCAATTTTTACCAAAGCCCTTTAGTAATGATTTTGTTTAAATTAGCAAAAAAGTATGATTTTGATATAAGTGATAAAATTTGGTCAATGTGGTAAAATTTGTTAGTTCTAGCATGATACCTTGTTGAGATAAAAACCATTTATATGGTTAAATTTACTTTTCAATTTTTTTCTTTACTTTTGTTTTACTACATTTCTGGTAATAAGAACTAAATGTGCGGTAATAATAATTTTAAAAACCAGAATTTCCAATATAACGTTACCATATAAATGGAAAAATTACTAAATGATTGGTTTAAATACCGCAAATTGTGGTTTTATTAACCAGAATTATGTTGTTGTTATTTTTTTTAAATCAGAAATGTCATTGCCGTACAGTACGGTAATTTCATCAGAATTTTTTACTCCGTGTAGAACATCAGTTTTATTTGTAATACTCTTTATTTTATTCGCTACTAATGATTACAAAATATGTTGTAATATCTTAAGTATATACTCGTATTTACGGGAATTTCATATGTTATTTAAGGAAAATTTAGGAGAGATTGCAAACAAAAAGAGAGGAGGGAGAAGCATACAGTATATGCTTGCTGCGATTCTAGAATGTTTTACAACAGCTATACTTGGAATGTTTACTTGAATAACCTGATAATTTAGTAAAAATTAATATTTAGATTTGTTTACTTTATTTTGCTAAGCTGTGCACGGATTTATCTTAATCTTGTGATATTTTCTTTCATTTACTACAGAAACTAATTTAATTTCTAATTTCTTGAATTATTTTCCAAAAAAAGCGATCCTTAATATATGTTTAGTCATTTTATCAAGTAAATTGTCTTCAAAAAAATAATGAGAAATTTAATTAAATATGATACATACATACTAATAACCGAATCGATTGAACATTCAAAATAACTAAATACTTAAATAATAACTAGAAATAGATTTGTATTAAGGTTATACAAATTAATTTTATTTCTAATTACTCAGCTTTTACACTATTAAAAGGATATAAATATTTGACTAGTTATTCATTAAAACAAATGGTACATACATAAAATAACATAATTGAAAATAACATGCTGAACTTTTCTTTATTAGACTATATAATTAGTTTATTAAAAAATCAATGAAATATTATGTAAGTTAATAAGTGAACCAAATGAACATACAAAATAACTAGGTAAATTTAGATAAGATTTCGACAAACAAA